GAATGGGTTCTCTTAATGAAACCAATTGATCTGAGAGGACCGAACATAAGCCCTATGGACAGTGCTTTGATGAAAACTATCATAACTGAGTTGACAGTGAAGTTATGAAAACCAGGCATGGAAGACAAAGAATGACTGCTGGTGTCTAATTTTTCTTAAAGTTTGATTCATTATGACTTACAGTTGTTAGAAACTTTTTCATATTTAAAAAATTTTAAAGTTTTCTTTAACATCTGTCTTCTCAAACTTCAAATAGTGGCAAGATAGAAGCCTATGTCCATTTTCACTCTCTAGAGGCAGATACTGTATCTCCTTCCACAATTTCCTATTCAAGAATATTACATACAATTTATAAACATTTTATTCATGTATACTGTTACTCTAGTTTTCATAAGTGAAAAATGCTTTGTAGTTCTCTATTGATGTTCATTGGAAGTGTTCAATTTTTCACTATTATAATAGCATAAGAAAATAGTCTCATTTACTATTGTTATAATTTTTATCAACTTATTTTGTTGATACATGTTTACTGCTTTCTATTTTCTTTTACATGTTCAGGGTTTGCTTTATTTCTCTCCTGTTAATAATTTATTCTTTTGGTGGTTCCTTTGTAATTATATTTACTATACTCAAACCTCTATTTCTTAGTTTATTAGCTTTAAAGTATAACTATTGATACCTGCTCTACAAAGTAAAGAAATTAGTAGTAGTCTTATCTACTAAATCACCTCTTTCTGACTTCTGATTTTCATTAGTTACATTATTTTTATATTGTCAGAGTACATAATGCTTACATTTTTATGTAATTATTGTTCCCATAGTGTTTAGACTTAGCTTTATAAGTAAATGGATATATTGTCAGTCTACAGCTTGATCGTTGTCTTAGTCTGTTTTTGATGCCATAACAAGTTATTAAAAGCTGGCCTATTTATAAAAAACAAATTTATTTTTTCACAGTTCTGGAGGCTGGGAAGTTCAAGATCCAAAAAGCCCCACCTTTTAATACCATCATAATAGGGATTATGTTTCAACAAATCAATTTTGCAGGACATCCAGAGCAGAGAAATCAGGTTGAATTTTTCATTTTGACTCAATTCTTGGTTGGCTGCTTTTCATTATTAGTTTTTCAAGATGAGTTAACAAGTATAATATTTCATTCGTGTTTTAAGTGTTTGAAAATGTTGTTATTTTGCCTTTATTCATGTTTCAAGCCAGTGTGAATTTGCCTCAATTTTGGATAACTTTTTTTCACCTCCAATACACAATAATTATGCTTTCTACATACAATAAGCTCTAATATTTTCTCCCCTTATTGTATTTAATTTTAAGGCTTATATGACCTATTAAATTAAATTTGTGTTCTACAGTGTTTGAAAGGTAAAGAAAAGAAAACCATGATAAAATATTGTTAGATAGTATGTGTGTAGTGATCTAAGGTTACCTGTTGCTTCAGTTCAATGTGATTTTTCAAAATAATCTTATTTCTAAATTTGTCCCGTGCACTGCCGTAGGAGTTTGTGCCCTATAGTTTTTGATTTTGCGAGACGGGTCATAACAAGAGATCGATCCTCTGCATAGTAAAATCTCCTGGAGGATTGGTTTCATTTTGATGAGTTAGGGTTTGTCTCTGCTCTTCTGCCTTTCAAATACAAGGTAGGTTGACACTTTCCTCACATCATCTCACCTCCAGAAAATTTCCTCAGGACGGGAACTGCTAGGAGAACAGAGAGCTCCTAGACCCGCCTCTCCTCCATTCAGCAGCTGGCTCCTCACAAAGATTTGCCCACAATTCGAGGCCTCTACTCCTGTCTGTGCATTCACTTTTTATAAGGAAAAGCTTCCTATCTATGCTCCTCAACACCTTCCCTGACTTTGAAGAAAAGATACATCCTTCTAGAGACATAAACATATATCCGGTGGTGGTTTATTCCCACTTTTGCTGTCCCAATTTCATTGAAAAATAGATTATGTCCATTTTTTAATCCAGTTGTGGATGGAATTTTCTCCCCAGTTTCTCAGTTATTCACTTAGACTTTTACGCAGGTAAGGAAAGTAATCACACTCAATCACTTAGTATAAATTCCCAGTAGAGACCCTTAATCTGACCGAGACACAATGGGAGTCCACTTTAAGGAAGATTATTATAGCAGCATAGATAGATCTGACTAGGATGAGGTGACATGCCAAAAACTATCTAGATTAACATAGTCCAGCAAAGCTTTCTACAATGTTGGAATCTGATTTTAATACATTCAAATTTTCAGAGCCGCACACTGCTAATAACCACCGTATTGCATGGTACAGATCTGGACAATGTAAAAACCTGAACATTAAACTGTGGCTAAAGAAGTAGAAATAAGAGAAGACCTTCCAAGAGGTGTTAGAGGAAGAAAACAAACATCAGTATTTTCATAAGAAAGGAGAGTAAAGGAGAATTTAAATAATTCAAAAGCAGTGTGCTCAGGAGAATGAAGAAACCAGTAGTATGGTACCATGAATTTAAAAGGGACATAGTATTAAGGCTATTTTGAAAAATATATATTTTAACAGGTTGTAATCCCAAGTTTAAGGAGATGTACATGTTGAAATGACTAGAAACAATTAAAATTCTCTTAGGAAATTGGGGGTGGGGAAGTCAGAACCACAAAAACAAAATCTTTTTTTTTTTTTTTGACACTTCTTTTGTGAGACAATCTCTTGTGCTCCACACACCTTTTCAGAGACTCCTTGTCCTCCCCCACATGGAGAAACTCTGATAAATGGCATAATAATGATGGTTCAGAGAAATTACTGCTTCACCTACTGAGTGATTAATATGAAATTAGTTACTGCAACATTCAGTGGTGCAGAGAGGATCAGGGAGGAATTTGGTTTTGTTTTAGAAAAAAAAAAAAGATAAAATACTGCTTTGCCTCCACAGAGTACTTTTCTTTTCATCTGAGAATCTCTAAATACACAGCGTGCTTAATTAATAAGAAAACCCCTGAGAAACAGAGGGACAAAATAAGAACCACACATTCCAGTGATCTATTTCTATGATTTTAGAAAATCGAGCTCAGTATTTTCCTCTTCATCTAACACACAAGCATAGCCCCATGCGACAGCCGTGAGATATTCATCTTTCTACTGAATGATTTCTCTCGAAGGCATTCCACTTATGAAGGAGAGGAACCACACAGAATCCCACCCCCTAACTTTATTGATGTCCTTTGCTCTATTTGCAATGGAAATCCATCCCTATCATCATAGTGCAGCAAGCATTCTCTGATAACCGAGTCTGCACCATCCCTGGAAAGATTGTTTTGTTGCAGAATGCATCAGGTTATCTTCTTTATCAGAAATTATTCAAAACAAACATCCGTGAATCTAGGACTAACATGCATTGAAAGAGGACAAGTAAGGCCCCTTCATGGGTGCCCTACTGTGTAATCTTCCTTTCATCTTATTCAAAATCCCTTAGAGATTGAAGCTGCCTTAGCAAAAATATAAATTCTTCTAATTACTTGTACGTGAGGTACATGGTTTGGCCTAGTCAAAGGAGATACATGATAATATATCCTGGCATTCGTTTTCCTCTGTTGTTACTTGAGGAGAGATGCTGGGGTGGTTTTTTTTTAATCCTATGCTTTTTTTATTGTTTGCTTTGTTACTTTTTCTCTCCCCTGTTCGATTTCTTTTCTCTTCCTTTCTACTCAAAAATATTTTTTAAAAAAATGCTGTCCTACCAAAAGAGAAACTACCTTGAAAGATCATGGCTTCTAAAGATTTTTACAAAGGGCTTGATGTTTTTTAAAATAAAACTAGCTGTCATGTACAAAAACAACCATTTTTTCTTTGAAGAGAAGATGCTATGGGGTTTCAGCTTTTGTTTTGTAACTCAGCCAGGCCTTCTCAGTTTGTCCCAGGCACACACAGATCTTACATTTCCAGCCTGCAGTCCTTGGTATCCCCTAATCTCCCCTCCTTTCTTGGACATCTTTCTTTAGCGCTGAGTGAGCATCACCTCACTCTCTCATCTCTGCATCTCACTGCATCTTGTTGCCCAGTGATGCAAGGTTAAACTCTTTCCTAATTAGTGCTGAAGACCCCTCACTATCATAGAGTTGTGCCACTATCCAACCGTACGTCACAGTGACCTTTCCAGTTTATCACCAACTGGGAATTTAGGGAAGCTAATCTTAACACTTCACACATAAAATGTCAAATTCTCCAAATTCTGATAGATTTGGAATCCACCTAAGTATATTTTTCTACTCCAATCTGAGCAATCTATACAGTGGCCCTGATTAGAAGTAGCATTTTGTAATATCACCTCAGGCTTTAGACCCTGGGAGTTCTGCCAATAATGGTGTTTAATTCACTAATATGTGCCAATTCATCTGTGTCAGGAGCCTATTAATTTCTTCATTATTTTATTCTGTCCCTAGCTCCTATATAATGAGACACAATGATCCCCATTTGTGTAACCAAAAAACTTAGACTATCTTATAAATTACCCCTGATCCCGTTGCTTTTTAGACACCTTGTTCTGTATTTCTTTTCCATATTTAAATAAATCTTTGCAAACTCTTTGCTTTAGGAGAATGCACTGGAACTCCAGAACACTAAATAATGAAGTAATAGAAAAAATGTAAGATTATGATAGGTCCTTTAACATACATCCCTGTCCCAAGAAAGACTTCCACAATATCAAGCCAGAGATATACTGTTCCCACAAATACCTTCCATTTGTAAGGAAAGATTGTTATCAGCCCAGTATGAGTGAGCAAGAGGTCAAAATATCTATGGCTTCACTATCAAAATAAAGACCCCAGAACAAATAAGGGTCACAGGTGTAAGATTAACCCTCTTATGCTGTCAGGACTTCTACACAGTGTGATCTTCAGTAAGCAAGAAGTAGCAGCTATGTGAATGACAAGAATTAACAGACTCAGGTGAGTATTTCATTGTATTAGCATATAAAACTCACGTTAGTCTGCCACTTCTTCTACATTTTTCAGGATTGGAGCAAAACATCAAGAGCTAAGAGAAAAGCAGGCAAGAAGTCTTCTCGATTATGCTACTGCTACAATTGGATCAGTGCATGACATGGATGATGATGAAATGGACCCCAATTATGCCAGAGTGAACCACTTTCGGGAACCATGTGCATCAGCAAATGTCTTTAGATCTCCATCTCCTCCTCGGACTGGACCATTTGGTTACCCTAGAGACGACCGTCCACTGTCTCCAGAGAGGGATCACTTAGAAGGTCTCTATGCCAAAGTCAACAAGCCATATAATCCACCAGCTCCAGTTGACAGGTAATAAAACTTAGTGAAAGATGAATGTAGTTTTTATTCAGTAAGTTTCAAGTCATCTCTACTGCTGAAGCAGATAAAAATATATTTTTCAATCTATTAAAGCTGAAATGACATGGTGCCCTAGACAAGAGTGCTACTTTGACCTACCTGTAAGGTATCAGCCATCAAAAATAAAACAATAGCCAGTTATAAGGTGGCATGAATGAATGGTAGTAGTAAAGTTCATGGTGCAACAGGGAACAATTTTTGCAGGAATACTGACAGAGAATGAATGATGAAAACAAGGAATATTGTCCTTTCTCCTAAGAGCCATATTGTAAAAGGCTTTTTAAGAAGATGGCATGACACTTAGAGGTGAGGAGTCAGAGAAGAAAAAATGATGACTTCCAAGTAGGTGTAATTGAAGTGCAGTTATAGGTTGCTATAGAGATACGGGGCAGTTTGAAAAGTAAAATTGGGATTTGATGCTTAAAAACAATATGACCCTATATAGGTATTCCTGGATGATCAGAAGTAGAAAAGGAGACCATCTTGGGAATGGGAGTTTGATGGAATAAAGAAAGATAGAAAGTGACAAGGCCACAGATCTTTAGGTTAGACAACTAAGGAAAGACATAATAGGACCATCTGAAGACACTTGAAGTAGGTAGGAAACAAGATCATTCCAACCCCACCTCCTGCCAAAAGTAAAATGCTTGTGTCTTGAAAGAATGACCTGAAAGAGTTTTGGTCACTATGCATTGTTAGGTGAACCCTGGAATTTACATGCAAGGAGTTGATTGACCTTGCTGCAATCTGATTGCTGCTTGAAGTCTGGAGGGAGAGGTGACAGGACATGTGGCTTGTGCAAGGAGCTCTCATTCTAGATGAAAAAGAGACATATTTTCCAGATTTCTTAGGGATCTAAAAGCCACCATTTCCTATTAGTAACCAGCTTTTGTGTGATAGTATGATATATTGCATATGTTTACCGTTTACATTTCCCCAGCTGGATGATATTATGCACTTTCAATTAGGTTGGAGAGAGGAAGGGAAATCATGGCATTTTTATGCAGACTGTAAAGTGTAGCTTCACAAGACTGATTACCTTTCAGAGCCTTTCCAATAACCAAGTGAGAAGGAAGGAGCAATTTTTAATCCTTACTGTCAAGCTTCCCGGTTGATGATATTAAAGAAAGATGGTCAAGTTTTTCTTTGGGACAAAATGAAAATATAAATTCCTATGACTGTGTGATACAGCCATAATAACTAAACTGCTAATTCCAAGGATTGATTGGGACTTGGCCTTTTTTCTCCCCAGCCTTTATATAAGGTTGGATTTTATCACATAAATAATAACACTATGCTTGAGTCTATTCTGGCCTAAAGCAGTCAATCTTCCTGTCCCTAAATCAGATAGGTCTTCATAGTAGCCCCCTTTACAAAGATCTGTTGCTAGAATCCCAGCACAGAGTAACTTGGGACGTCCCAAGATAGTATTTCCCACTATTAATTCCATGGAAATAAAAACAAAGCACTCTATAAGAAGGGTTCTCAAGTCAAGTACATATGGAGAATTCTGGGCTAAACCACAGGATCAGTTTTCTTTATTGTGTTCTTCTTATACCCAAAAGACTAATTTTCATTCTACATCTCTAAGAAAATCATACAACAAATCAAAATTTACCACACCCCCAATTTTTATCTTAAAGCTTGTTTTTCTCACTGGATCTTAATTATTCTTTGAGGCATTATATAACAAGCTGTTCTGTGCTAATTTTCACAGGTAGATTTGACCAGGAAAGGAATTTCTAAGGATAATCTTAACTGCAACTACTATAAAATACTATTAGAAAAAAAATGTTATTTACTGCCCAGTCCAGACATCTATATGAATAATAGGTTCTTACTCTGGGCACCAACCCCCTGCCCCCATTGTGTTAATCAGTAATTTAAAGCTGCTTTCAGCGGAGTTTTATAGACTATTTTTATATTTTTGGATAGCTGCAAAGGGTGTCTCTTTATACCCAGAATTATCTTAATTCTCTCTGTTCCTTGTTCTTAAAGTCAGAAAGCCAACAATTTTTGTCTTGGCACCTGGTAAGCATTTGATACTGTTAGCTGCTATAATTGGTACTATTAGGGCCACCTTTTATTAATGAAATTCTGTGTCTAGTAAATCTAGGAAGATTTCCTTTGGTGGTTTTCCCAACCGTGATCATATGCAGGTAAAGGGAGTTGTAAACCTATCTTATATACAGTGGAGGACACCATCATTTAGCCATCCATTTGTTCAGTCTTTCATTCATTCAGTAAGCACATTTGGCACCTATTGTGATCTAGCTACTGTAAAAAGCTCTAGGGAAGATGCAGAGATGATTATTACATGGTCTCAGTGCAGAGAAAGTTGTATTCTGGTCAGAAAGGGACAGCACATGTGAAAATGGATAATCGCAATGTAAGTAGAAGAAAACAAGCTTTTGTTTCTTCACAGGTTAGTCAGGAAAGGCCTCCCAAAGAAGGTGATATTGGAACTGGCTCTTGAAAGATTAGTAAGCATTGAGCAGATGCAGTAGGAATATTGTTTACATACAGAGTAATCAGCCGTTCACAATGCCAAAGTGTCTGGAAAGGGCATGCCTGTTAGTTAAACTCAGAAGCACCCAGAATTATTGTACCTGGTTGGGAAGGAAGGTGATAGGAAATGAGACGGAACAGCAGGTGACAGTCAGTCTGTGAATGAGTAGGTTGTGGGTTATGTTGACACTTATTGATTGGTAGCAGCTATCTAGAAGTCTGGGTTAAGAACAGTTCTGAAGTTTTCTGAATAGAGGTATCTTCCCTGGGCTCCAGAAAAAATGACCGGTGTCATGTGTGAAGTGGTTACTAATACATGTTCCAGCCCTGTGAACAATAGGAGCTGTTAAAGTATCATAACTTGGGAAGAGCTGATAGATTTGTATTTAGGGAAAATAGCTCTTTTAGCTTGATGAAGCCAAGAAAGATGGTAAGGCTGTGAGACAAACTAGGATAAGATTACAGTAGTAAAAGATGACAAGGGTCTAAAGTAACAGTGGCATTGGAAACAAAAGAAAACAAGAAGCAGCCAAAAATCTAGTTTAAAACTAACATAAGATGTAGGTAGCATTCAACTGATGCTCTTAAGTGCCCTACAGGTCAATGGGAGGAAGACTCAAAACAGAGTTATGAATAAGAGGGTCATCGGTTGACACAGAACAACTTTGGAAGCTCAGTAGGTGCAGAAAGAGAAGGAGATAAGAGCTTAGCAAATAAGGGGCTAAAGAGAGAGCGGGGTTATAGGATGAAAATGGTTTCACCTTTGAAGTTCTGGGAAAGTATTTCAGAGCTAACAATTCAGAGACTTCCAGAGTAACTTTCTCGTACCATCACTGCAAAAGTAAGCGCCCAGAGAAGCTGAGCAACTCACCCCAAGGATGAAGTTAGAACTATTGTATATCTCTAAATTGTGCAGTGTTCTTTTCCTTACCTCACACTTTCATCTAGACCCGCACAGTCATTTCCTAATTAAAGAAACTAGTAGAGTCCTCAGATAAGAAGGTGGGTATCCTTTTGCTCTCTCAACTTAAACCATGGCTTTTATAAACAGACAAATGGGGTCCACTTCTCTTCCAGATGACTATTGTGTGGATTCAGTAAATAACTTTTCCAAGATGCCATATCTTATCTCTGTGGAAATAATTCAACAAATATTTGCTGTTTAAATTGGGAGTCCAAATGGATACCCACTGTCCTATCTGAATTGTAAAACTCGCAATGTAAGTGATGCTTCCAATATTTTTTTTCTCCATCCCTCTGCCCCAAATAGGATACACAGAGACTGCTTTGGGGACTTCTGGCCTCAACTCCAGGCTTCACAGGGGTGGTTGCCTTGTCTGCTTTGGCTTATCATTATCTCTTCACTTCCTAGGGCAACTGGTTCCCCAGAAGTATTTTTGGCTGAATGGTTTGATGAATCTTATAGTTAAATGGTACCTTCAGTGGTCAACCCTCACATAGCACTCATCAGAGGCAAGTTCTGCACAAAATTCTGTGGGAGATGGCACTTGACCCATGACAGTTTACTCCCAATGACAAAAATATGACAAGAACTCATCAGGCTTTTTTTTTATATATATATATCAGGGATTGAATTTAAGACCTTGCACTTATGAGGTAGGTGCAGTTCCACTGAGCTAAACCCCCCAGCATCAGGCTCATTTTTCACTCTTAAGATCCCTGTAAGTGATACAGAAATGCCCACTTTGTATCTGCCTGAATGCTGTCACTGTACAATATTTACTGTAGATCATGGATCAACCCTACCTGGACACAGAAGGCAAAGCCTCATGAACAGCCAGTGACTGCTCTAACTGCCCTTATTAACAGTCATTTACTGGACTGACATGTGCCACACTCACACTGTGTGCTCAGAGCAGGCCTTAATAAGGACACAGAAAGCATAGCACATAACCTTCAGGTATTCACTGTATAGTCATTTCTTCAATACAAACTACCCTGCTGTTTTAGTCACTTATGTGATAATCCACACCTGTAGGCCTCTTGGTAGTCATTTTGTGAATATAGACAAATCTATTGAGTTTCAGGCTAAGTTAAACATGCTATGCATAACTGGATGCTGTATTTCAAATATGGTCAGAAGTCAATGGGAGTTTTGTGTCTGATCTTAATCTTTTACACTTATTAATATTACCTAAACTTTTACATCAGTTGTTGGTATCAGCTTATCTGCACTTATCAACTAAAACTTCTATTTTTTCCATAGTTATCAAGCCAGATTCTTTTAAATATTTTACAAAAGCCTATACTTGTGCAATTAACTTTTTAAACATAGGATATTCTCTTTATCCAAGTTAAATATTTACTTGTTAGTTTAGCCCATTATTGTACCCAATAAAGATATTTTAAAAGTATTGATTTTGTCCTCCAGTATACAGTATTAGCTGTTCTTACCAGAGTGTACTATTTGCATATTTAATCAC